TTTGTTTGTTTATTTAACTAATAAAATTATTTAACTAACTTTTATAGGTTTATATAAATATTATTTTATTTTTTAAAAGAATTAGCCAGATTCAGCTGATACTATTTACATTTTAAGATATTCTGGCAGATTCTAGAAAAAATCACTAAAAATCCAGCCAAATTCTGTAATTCAACAAAATTCAGCCAGATTCCACTATATCAAAATGAACGATTACCATACCTCAAACATGATTAATGGATGCAATCAAGTGGGAGTTGTATCCATTACAAAGTATGAACTCATTACCATTGGTCACTAAGGAGTAAAAGTCATTTTCACTAATCACATCCGAACTCATAACCATTGGTCACTAGAGAGTAAAGGTCATTTTTCACTAATCACATCCCTACTTGGGTTTCGATGTTTTCATCATTCATGAATCTAGTGGGTAGAATGTTGCTAGATACGTGGTTTTTGGTTAGATTATTAGATACAATATTTTTTATGATTATACAACTAAATTTCTCTAAAAAATACCCTTTTTTTTTTGTTAAACAACAAGACTTTTCAACCACACTTTATTAGCTAAGCAGAATGGTATTAATCTGTCAACTCTCCACAAGCAAATTGAAAAATATAATGGAGATTAATATGACTGGAAAAAAAAATACGAATAATCGTCGTATTAAGTGTCATGAGTTTATGTTTAAAAAAAAAAAATGTCATGAGTTTCAAATTGAAAAATAATTGGTAATCAATTTCTTTTTTGATAACTACGAGGGAGTTCGGATCTAAATCTTAATCTTTTCCATGGTTCAAAACCATTCTTTGATAATACCTTACCACATTATATTATATTAGTAATAAGTTGATCCGCATATGTCCCTTATATTAGTTTAAATTTCTCACTTCCGTGGAACATATATTATTCACATGTGGAAATCGTGAGCTAGAAATTTAACACAGTTGGAACTATAGTTTTTTTTCAAATATTCTAGGGGCAATTGCAAAAATGCCAATTTTGATATGCATATTTGCAAGAATGTCACTTAGAGGTGTTCATTTTTAAAAATGCCACTAATTATGAATTTTTAAAGTCTAAATCTTAAAATTATAAACTCTAAAAAAATATTTTTACCCCTAAAACCTTTTAAACCATCAAAACTAAACCCTAATACAACATAGTTAATCCAAACACAAATGATGTAATGAAAAATAATTTTGAAAAAATGGTATTTTTACAAAAATTTTGAAAAGGTGACATTTTTTAGAAGTGACATTTCTTAAAATTTCTCAATATTCTAACGTGAGGTTTGAGCACAACAACAGAGAACCACATTTTCAAATTAGTTTCTTAATCATATATGAACAAATGAAAAACAAAACCGACTTGAAAACTCTAGTTTCAATTATTTTTTTTTAAATAGTTTCAAGGGTGAATTTGTGAACTAGCTATATTGGAGATAAAAATTAAGAATATAGCTATGAAAAACAAAAATAAAAGACTAACTAAATGACCCCAAGGGATTTCCAATCTTGTCCTTTTCCATCTTCAAATCATGTCCGCCATCACGATAGAGAAACCATCGTCCATGTCGGAATTCATTATGTTCCGCCGTAATCAAGATTTCATCCACCATCGTTACCTTGACTTTTGATGCACGTGCCACACAATTACTGACGACCGCATCGACGGAGAGATTTGATACACTTGACGTCACCGGATTTAGCATCATCGGAGGCGAACATAGCCAATTCGGTGATGACAGTTCATGGGTTCGATAAAGAGAAACGAACGTGAAAAAATGTATGATTAGGCGTGTGTATGATTCGAAAAATTTGGTCTTTGTTTTCATTGGTTTTTTTTTGATGATTTTATTTTGAGAGAGAAATTTTTGGTCTTCGGAGATTTAAGAGAAAATGGATTGTGTTTTTAAGGTCAGTTATGCACACGACCATCGCGGGTGGATCTCCGGCAATAGAATAATGTCACACAGTTTCTCTCCCTTCGTGGCAATCAAAGACAAAGATGTCAATATTACATATTACACACTCTATATTCTAACCAATCTACCCATATGGTTATTTATCCAATTATAATTTTTTTGGTAGCTAGTGTTGCTAATTTTCCTAGTTTCAAACATGA